GCTTTAACTTAAATTTATAAACATTCTTTTGTGACAAAATAAAGAATATTGCAAGTCCCTTAACCAATGAGAATATAGAAAGTCTGCATCTAATTCATCCCCAAAATAGTTTGGAGCATGAAACAAGTGAAAATCTACATCTAATTCATCTTCAAAACAGTTTGGAGCATAAAACAAGTGAAAATGTGCATTTAATTCATCTCCAAAGGAGTTTGGAGCATAAAACAAGTGAAAATCTGCATTAAATCCCCCACAAGATCAGCGAGAAAAACCATATAAAAGACGCGGGACTTTCTGCCAAGAAGCAATGAAGGATCTGCCTAAATGCTATAGGGCTTTTCGTATAAAATCAGTGAGAAAACCCCCCAAAAATCTGTATTTATTCTTCACAAAATCGGTCATAAAAGCTCCATAAAAACTGTAGGAATTTTTGCATAGAAGATAGACTTGTCAACATATCTTTTAGAGAACAAGATCCCACAGAAAGCTCGCACATACGCACCACTAATACATTTCATCAAAAATTAACATGCGGGGCTACGAAAATGCATAGAACAAATTGATATGAGGATCATTTATATATATAATATCAAGTCATGAAAATGTTCATGCCACCCATCAATAATCACTACTAAACAAATGAGATACGTACACAATCATGAGGCTAGAACACTCAGGGAGGGTACGTACACATGGTTTTGGGGTCACTCCAAGCAGATAGTTTCCTCATAGCACCACAACTCAAGGTAGCAGTAGTGGAGGCAATACTGCATTTGATCGAGTTATAAGACTTGAGGAGGTGGTGCAAACACTACAAAGTGAGGTCAGACAATTCATGAAAATTATCAGGGATAACATCCACCACTAGAAAGCTCAACTATGGTATGTAAAATTATAAAATTAGATATTTTTTTTATTAATTTATTTATCACCTTTATTTTTACTGATGACTTCTATATTAATAACAGAGATATAATGATCAATTTTCGCCTAATTGACACCCAAAGTGTAGAAGAATGGAAGACGTAGTATAAATGGGCACGATATTTTCATTATGTATGGCCAATGTTTTGAAATATTAAAGGATTTTGTTCATTAAGAGAAGTGCAGAGTATTTAGTTCAAAGTTGTTGAATATATACAATTATAATTTTGTTTTAAGTTCTTGGTTGAAAGCTATGGATTGTGTCGCACATTTGTCAAGCAAAAATGTGTTAATTCATGAAGACTTGCTGCGTATTCCTGGGAAATAATAAGAATTACTGTTTTCCTTACTATAACAATAACGTTTCTTTTGCTTATTATTGTGAAACAACTAGCATTTTCGCATGCATGGCCTAGTCAATTTTAACCTTTTGCAATAATTGATGTTTCGAGGATAGCCTGGAACTTCTCTAGCAACTTATTATGTTAATTTTTTTAAAGTTTTGTTCTTCAAGACAGGTTAAAATGCTAGTTATATGTTCTATGTAGTACATTTCAGCAATGCTACTTGGGTTATAATAAGAATGTGCTCTTCTTTAACAAGTTGATATTTTAAATCGACCTCTTAATTTATGTGGCAATCAACAGCAAGTTTATGTATTTCTAATCAACATAAATTGAGTTATTTATCAATTTAATGCTTTGAATTTGTGTTTGTAGTCTATTCTCATTTTATTCTCAAATGTATGTCATCTTAGGCTCTTCTAGAAATTAGACAACTGGTGAGTTCTGTCCCTCGTTAAACTATTTGTTAGCATTTGGTTTGGAAAGAGACTTGCTCTTAACCATGCTGCTTTTTATAGACAAGATATTTTCATCATTATTTGTCTTGGTGTTACCCTTTAATGTTAAAACTTGCTGCCTTTCTCTAGTTAAGAGAGGATATACTCCTACTGAGTCCATCAGGTAAAGCTCCCAATTCATAATCTGAAGCTACCAGAGTATGTGAAAGCCATTCTTTTTTTTTTTTTTTGGAACTTTTGGGGCCTTGGCCCATATATTACTGAGAAAAAATTACACGTAAAGGTGTATACAAGTAAAGCAATCCTTCATAAGCAAAAACAAAAACTTAAGAAGGATGAATGAAATAAAACCCCAACTATACCACCCATACAAAAAGGATAAACCAGGAAACAACAAGAAGACCAGCAACTAAAGGAGCAGGCAGACAAAAAAACACTCAGATAGTGCTAGGAGCAAAAATTCAGTGCCATCAACATTGATCAAACCCTGCGCAGCCATCCAGAGAGAGCAACCCCCAGCGAAACAGAAAGCCAACCAAGCATCCGCGATAATTACAGGAATCATAGAGGACACCTGAGAAAAAAAAACAAGTGCAAGAGAAGAACGAACCAACAGAACCATCGTTCTCAAAAGGGCTCCAAGCAGAATTAACCAGGACTCAGGAGAACCCCTGGTTTCCCGAAGACCATCCAAGGGGTAACAGTTATAGAGCGTCACACGAAGCATCATCATTGTCCTGGCTAATAAATCAATCCCGGCCAACCAGCATCCCAAGCAGAAAGTAGCAACTAACCAAAACATAGGGGCTGCCAGAACAATCCAATAGCATAAACCTTCCAGAAGATTACCAAAAACATGAACAGCAGTATTAACACCAAATAGGATCACCCAGCTCCAAATAAACCATAGCCGAAAATCCAAATTAAAGAGTTCCCGCACAACAATCTCCAACCTCCCCGAATTGAACAGCTTCAAAAATTCCATCCCCTTAAAGAAGTTATCCAGCAATACGAACAAACCAAACTAGCACCACAGAAACAAAAGGCTCCCAAATTCAACCCAGAATATTAACAAACTTATCTTTGAGTGTATCAATTCCATTCCAATTAGCAGTTTTAGCACGAACAACATTTATAATATCCATTTTCACCTTCCCAGGGGAATTCCAAACATTAGAAAATCTCCTACAATTCCGTTCTTTCCAGGCAAAATAAATAAAGGATGCCAAAGTCAAATAACAGAAACATTTATCCCTCCTACAATAGTCATGCAGATTATCAAAAAAATTTAAAACCTGCATGAGGTTCGGCCTGAGGTAGAACATCCCAAACCCTGGAAACAATTCCAAGAGAATGGAAAAGGTATAATCACATTCAAAGAACATGTGAGAGTGATTCTCTAAATGCTCAGAGCAAAAAGAACAATTACCAGCCACCATAATTCCTCTGGAAATAAGATTATCCGCAGTTTTTAATTTGCCTCTCAAGGCCATCCAAGTATAACATGAGTATCTCAGAGCATGTCCCTTGTGCCAAATAAATTTATACCAAGCCACATCTTCAAAATTATCATGAAAGGAAGCCATAATCTTCTTAGGTGGGGGGGAGGGAGAAGGGGAGCCCTCCCAAGTAATGACCGGTTGCTCCTCCAAAATATTAGTGCTAGAGATAAGGGTATATATCTCAGAAGGAAAAGTATCAGGTAACACCCATTTGCCATCCACAATAAAACTGTCCACCCGCAAGTGAGAAAGATTATAAGAGTAATATATGTCAGCAACAGCTTTTTTCTTACACCAAGGGTCCCAAAGAAAGGATAAGTTGCAGGTTTTTTGGACATTTAAAGAAATCTTAAGAAGGATAGAGGCAGCCACCATGCAAAGCATCTTCCAGAACTTAGAAGCATAGGGGGGAGGATTTTTCCAAGGCGACCCAAATTTAAATTTGAACCATCTCCCAATCAAATTATTGTTGTTAAACATCCTGAAAAGAAAGGAGGTAGCCATTTTATGGTAAAGGAAGTCAATGGATGGCAGACCTAAGCCCCCCTTGGATTTAGGGAGAGACACAGACTTCCATGAAATCAGCTGAAGCTTCCTATCCTCAATGTTACCAAAAAATAAGAATTTGGAGCAAAGTCTAGAGATGTATTTCTGACAAGCCTTAGGAATGATAGCCCCACAAATCCAATAAGCAAGAGTGTTGGCGATGGTGAATTTAAGGAATTGCAATCGACCTGCAAAAGAAAGAAATTTTACTTTCCAACCCGCAAGTAGAGTAGAAATCCTACTTATGAGGGGTTGGAAGTGAGCATAATTCAGTCTGGCAGTGGAAATAGGAATGCCAAGATAAGTGATACAGTCATCCACCCGAGAAATCCCAAGACAGGAGGAAATGATATCCACGGGAATATTGCCTTTAGAGAAAAGCAGGGAGCTTTTAATGGGGTTGATGTGGAGGCCGGACGCATTAGCAAATCTGTGAAGGATCTCCTTAAGAGATAAAGCATTGCTACCTGTGGCTAGCCCAAAAACTAAGAGATCTTCTGCATACATAAGATGATTAACATTGAGATTATTAAGTTTAAGCCCCAAAAAACCATCAGGTGCATCCAGACAAGAGGAAAGAGCATCCATGATAATACAAAAAAGAAGAGGTGAAAGAGGACAGCCCTGCCACAACCCCGAGGTGAAAAAACCTTCCAAAGCCCCATTTAGGCAGATGGAGAAGGGAACATCCATAATGCACCCTCTAATCCAATTTATAAAGGCCTCAGGGAAGCCTTTCTGTCTCAATCTGTTGATTAGGAAAGTACTAGAAACAGTGTCAAATGCTTTTTTGATGTCAACCTTGGCACAGAAGTAATTCTTGCTATTTTTGAACTCCCTCAGCACTTCCGAAGCAAGAATAATGTTATCAATGAAGCACCTCTTAGAAATAAATCCAGATTGACTTTCATGAATAATAAAAGGAAGAGTAGGCCTCATCCTCTTAGCCAAGATCTTAGCCACAATTTTGTAAAAAACGTTGCAAAGGGAGATAGGTCTGTAATCCGAAATTGTGCTAGAGTGGGTACCCTTAGGGATTAGAGAGATGGCAGTTGCTTTAGCACATCTAGGCATGTTACCCGTAGCAAAAAAATGTTTAACAGCTCTGCATAAATGATACCCAGTAATGAGCCAAGTCTTTTGGTATAAACCAAAAGAGAACCCGTCTGGACCCAGAGCAGAAGAGGAGACACCCTCAAAAACGATTTTTTTAATTTCATCATTGGTCACAGGAGTACAAGACTAGGAATGAGGCAATTAGGAATTTTATTTCCAACAGGGATGTCATACCCATTATCCAAAGGGGGAGAGGGGGTGTTATAAAGCTCTTTAAAATGAGAAATAAGAGCATGAGCCAAATCATCATGTGAGGAAATCATACCAGAAGGAGTAACAATCTCATTGGTAGTATTCCGGTTTTTCCTGGACCTAATCTTGGCATAAAGAAAACCAAGATCATCCTCCCCTTGAGTTAACCAGTAAGCTTTAGCCCTTTGAGAGATCCAAGAAACCCAATCAGATTGTAATGAGGCTAATCGGTCACTAGCCTCTTTAAGAGAGTGGTTCAAAGCTTGATTTAAAGGATCTAACTGGATATTCGTAATGCACTGATGTTGAAAACTTTTCATCTCCAAAATACCATTGGAAATGAAGTTAGCAGAGTTCCAAACTTTACCCCTTATAGCAAACTTGAGCAATTTTAAACATTCATAGAAAAAGGCAATAGGCTGGCCGAAACTTGCCTATCAAAAGCTTTTAAAACCTCATCCCAAAAAGCATCAATATTTGTCCAAAAAGCTTTAAACATAAATCTCGAGAAATTCTTTTTCAAGTGGGTAGCAAACAGAATTAAAGGAGAGTGATCGGAACCACAAGGAGTATCAACTTTATAAAAATCCGTAGGAAATAAATCCAGAAAGCCATGATTTACCAACATACGATCCAGCTTAATGTGAATAGGATTGTCACTCCTTTGATTATGCCACATATAAAACAACCCCACAGAAGCAAGGTCCTGTAAACCGGACCCAAAAACAAAATTGTTGAGCTCCCCCAATCTATCAGCAGACAAAGGATTCCCACCAGCTTTTTCCCCTTCATATCTACAACAATTAAAATCCCCCATGACAATCCATGGGTGATCCATCGTACCAGCAAAACCTAAGAGGTTATCCGAAAGAGCTTTCCTATCAACCAGCTCATTGGCAGCATACACTACAGACAAGTAGATGGGAGGGAGAGAACCAGCTTCAATAATACCATGAACAACTTGAGAAGAGGTGAATAGAGGATAAAAAGAAATTTGGGAAGAGTCCCATTTAAGCCAAATTCTACCCGGGGTAGAACACGAGAAATTGTCATAGCTTTCCTCATTCTCAAAGAAAGAATGAGAATGAAGAAACCAAGGATCATGAGCGACATGGTGCTGAATTTTAGCTTCCAGAATACAGAGAAATTTAAGACTATAAGAGGCAATGAGATCTTTACAAAGCTTGGCTTTGACAGGGTTATTAAACCCTCTAACATTCCAAGCGGCTATAGCAGGTAAAGACATGGATTACTTCGATTTTTTGGCCTTCTTGGCCGTCTTTGGCTTTGATTTTTTGTCAGAGGAGTCGACCTTGATAGAGGAAGGTTTGGAGGAAGAAGTAGAAGCTTTCTCGGTAGAGGTGGAGGGAGGGGCATTATCAGATCTAGATGAAGAAGAGATTTCTTCATCACCTAAACCATCATCTGGATTATCAAGGTTATCAACCGGAAGGGGAGCAAAACTATTGGCTAGAACTACTTGAGAAGGACGTAAGAGAAGAAGTTGTGGAGGTTGGCCTGAAGAAGAGGATTCTTCATGCGGTAAGTTCAGGTTAGGAAGAGGGGGAGTGATATCAGGTAAGTCAACCTGAGTAATAATTTTGGGAGAATCAGTAGGCGCTTCCTTAGAGGATGTCTTGGGAGGTGAATTGGTAGAGGGTTGAAGGTTGACTGTAGAAACGGGAGTTGTAATGGAAGGGGGTTTGACAGGAGGATTAACCAAAGGCCGTGAAGTAGACCTGTTCCCTCTAGCAGTAGGCGCTTGGCTTTTGCTCCTGCCACGGAAAACAGGCTTGGGGGGAAGAGTAGGTTTGGGTGAGGGGTTAGAGGGACAGAAAGCGTACGGGTGAATGAGAGAACCGCAACCTTCACACCTCGAAGGTTTCCAGTCGTATACGACTTTGAGCACCAAGTCTTCCCCGTCAATTTCCATAGGAATCTCCTCCGGTAAAACAGAGTTTTTATCAACTTGAACACATATCCGGGCAAAGGTGAGTCTGGTCCGTTTGGCAGTAAGAGAATCGACGTAAAGAGGAATGCCAATATAACTAGCAATTTTCGAAATACTTGAGGGGGTCCAGAGAGCAAGAGGCAGGTTGAGGATTTTAACCCACAGAGGAATGGATGCAGATTCATCTCTCTTCGGCTGAAATTTCGGACTCCATTTTTGAAGGAAGAAAGGTTTGCCGAGCAGGAACCAAGGTCCCCCGGACCAAATCATGTCATAATCTTCACTAGAAGTGAACTTCAAGAGGAAAAAATCGTCTGCTCGAGATAGAAGCGAGAACGAGCCTTTGAGTTTCCACACCTTGTTCATAGCAACAAGAAGCCTTTCATAATATGGTCTTTGCCCCAAAGAATAACCCACTAGAGAAAGGTCCCACAGACCTTTCCCCTCAGAAAGCTCAGAAGAAGCAAAGGATAGCTTTTTAGTCGGATTAACGAAGGACATCGGCCACTCATCCCGGTCGGAAGGAGGAGCAGAAAGATTACTAGCATAAGAAAGAGCAGGAGGGGGGAGGGGGAGCAGCTCCTAACAAGGATGAAGATCCAGGTAGGGGAGGGAAGTCAAGCAAGTTACCCGCCATGACGGCCAGCCGACCGGGAAAGAGACGAAAAGCGCGACAAAACCCTAAAATCCCAGAGCTTCTCTTTCTATCTCCTTACACCCGTTCACTTTCCAAATAATGTTTCATGTGACATTAACACAAGTGAAAGCCATTTTAAAAGCCCTAAGGTTATAATTGACGGTCAAGAGCGACGCTTTTGTCAGCAGTGTAGCGGGTATAGTTCCTTGCATCTGTTGCTGAAAGCAGATTATTATGGTGCATTTCCATTATTTTGTAGATGTAATTTTGTTTGACATTGAAGCCAATGAAGAAGCAGTGATGTGATTATTATGCATGGGCTTTCTTTGTGTGCCTCATTTAGATTTAAACTAATATCAGCTTCTTGATACTGGTGACCTAAAAAAATTTATAGATTGTGATGAAGAGAACACCCCTTACATGAAATATGAAAAAGATGCGCTATGTCTTGGAGGCCACTCTTTAAGGATTTTTCGATGTAAGTTTTTTTTTTTTTTTGCTGGCGTTATACTTGTAGAACATCCTGAACATCAAATTATTTGTCTTGGATATAACTGTGTCATTTTTTCACATTATCATAGTTGTATAAATCATAAAAAATGTTCTCATATGCATCCAGTCTTATTTTCCTTTTGCTAGATTTCAAGTATCTTAAACCTATCTTTCTTGAACATAATGAATGGTAATAATTTAGAAATCAGATGACCTTGTGGGCGTTTTTTCTATCAATAAAAACAGTTGCAAGAAAATTTAATGTGTCTCATTCTAGTTTTGACATTTGTGGAAGTTTCGATCTCATTTTTCTTTTCCTTATAGTTTTACTTCTATATTTTGTTATTAGTTTATATATTTAATATTATTTAATAATGAAATTTATAACATATATAGATTTATTTTTTATTTAAATATTATATTGAATCTAACTAGATTTGGGTGCAATAGGTGGATTTAAGAGGGGGCATGATTTCACCCTCTTAAATTTTAAGATAAACCCTCTAACATTCCAAGCGGCTATAGCAGGTAAAGACATTAATTTCTTCGGTTTTTTGGCCTTCTTGGCCGTCTTTGGCTTTGATTTTTTGTCAGAGGAGACGTCTTGGTTAGAGGAAGGTTTGGAGGAAGAAGTAGAAGCCTTCTCAGTAGAGGTAGAGGGAGGGGCATTATCAGATCTAGATGAAGAAGAGATTTCTTCATCACCTAAACCATCATCAGGATTGTCAAGGTTATCAACCGGAAGGGAAGCAAAACTATTGGCTAGTACCACTTGAGAAGGACGTAATAACAGAAGTTGCTGAGGTTGGCTTGAAGAAGAGGACTCTTCATGCGGTAAGTTCAGGTTCGGAAGAGGGGGAGTGTTATCAGGTAAGTCAACCTGAGTAATAATTTTGGGAGAATCAGTCGGCCCTTCCTGAGAGGATGTCTTAGGAGGTGAAATGGTAGAAGGTTGATGGTGGACTGTAGAAACGAGAGTTGTGGTGGGAGGGGGTTTGACAGGAGGATTAAACATCTTGTCATTCTAGAAATGTTTCATTCATGGCCAGCCCTCACTCATCCACTAAAATAATTCCTCCAAACCTCAACATTCCTAAACCAAATACCACTACTAATAACTAAGATTCTTCCTCAGCTTCATCACCCTATAGACTATATGAAAACTCAAATACTTCTACTATGTATAGAAATATTCCCCCTACTCATCAAATGCCTACCTCACCAGCCAATGTACTTTTACATCTTTTGCTTTGAAATTTGTAAACACCACCCTTGACGATAACTTAAATTTCTTTGACATAGCCACATCTTCTACCAATTTGGAGGCACACATAGTAATTGGTCTTATTCCCCTATTACTTTCCAGCAAGGATGAAAAAGTTAAGGTTGTGAAAATCGGACTAGATAACTGATGCGGTGCATTTTAAGCTAGAATGGTTCCTTAGGAGTACTTTATCTAGTTTGTTGTTAATACCTTCTAGAATGCTCTTTTGGTCTTATAAGTATGAGGTCTTGTAGAAGAAAAAGGTATTGAATGATATAATATACTCTCTTTTATAAGCTTTGAAGCTTTGGGTTCTTCTTCTTCCCTGGATTGGAATCAAAATCCTTCTTGCAGGTCGAGTCTTTCCGACGATCCACTACTTCAGTTGGTATCAGAGCCTGGATCTTGTGAAGATCGATGAACTGCGGAAGAAGGTCGGCTGTCGACGACGTTCGAAGCCGTAGAACAAGGGCGGTCGACGAAGATCGACGTCGAATAAGATGGGCGGTCGACGAAGATCGCCACCGAAGGAGATGGGCGATCGACGACGATCGACGCCGAAGAAGACGGGAGATCGATGACTATCCGCCTCTTGAGCTTCCACTCCAATGGTGTGATCCGCCGCCGGAATACCCTCCCCTCGAACTTCCGCTCAAATGGCGGAATCCATTGCCGGACCATTTAGTCCGCAATCAACCCGCGGCCTTCGCCCGCGACTCGCCGTCGCTCAGGCCTCATTTAGTCGCCCATGATCCTTACGCCGCTTCGTCTCGCAATCACACTCGCAATCCCGACCCCCTCATTCTAGATTTCAACGGCCACCGAAGAAGAAGGGATGCCGATCGTGCGCAACGCCGGGAAACCCTTCGGTTGGCTCAAGTGGAAGCATCAATCGATCGAATATATGCTTTATGTGTTAATGTCTTTCAATCAGTGGAGAGAATCATGAGCAGGCCGGCAACCATATCATCCCCATCGCTCATCTGCTCCACCAACACACAGGCGCTACTGAACCTACTTCCGCATGCAGATTTGCCTGCAAACAATCACTCCGTCGCCGATTTCAACTCCGTTGTCATTCCCATATCCGACATTCAACGCAAGCCCGTTGGTACCACGCCGCCGTTGCTGTCCGCACACACAAAACTCCCAACTCCGCCTGAGGACATTCACAATCCCGCCGTTACCGCTCCTCCGGTGCTGACCGATCATACAAAGCATCCACTCCAGGCGCTGGTGACCGACGCCGACCTTCATTCTATTTCAACATCGTCCAAGGGCTCTGTAGATGTCGATGGAGAAAATGAAACCGCACCTATCGTGTCAGCTGGATCCGCGATCATGGCAAGAGACGGAGAGAACTTGCTTTCAGCTAGAGCATCACCGCTCTCTGCATCGGCTTCGAACGCTTCCTTATCTGATAGGGAGGCTGACGCTGTTCTTCCAGCTTCCCAACTCCACTCGCCGACAGCAACCCACCAGGCCCCCGCCGACCGGACTCCCGCACACTCCGCCGTCGATACCACTCCGTCGTTAGCGTCCGGCGACACCATTCCTCCGTTGCCGCACACCCCACTCCGACGGCAGCAGACAGAAAACCCACTTGGCTATCGCGACGTTGCTCCAGGCCTTGTGCTTGATCTTTCACGACCAGATCCCAGTCTCGCTGCCTGCTCCGATTCCGTCGGGATGGAGCTCCAGCTGCAAATTTGTCGTCTTCCTGCATTGCCTGCGGACGGCAACAAGGCAGTGCGGGTTTCGGACTCTGCTATGGATGGAAATTATTCTCAGCTCCAGGTACTTAATATAAGCAACTACACTCTCTCCGATGCATTCAAATCACAAGTGAAGCCTTCCAAAAAAATGGAATTCAAATATCAAAGAGGTAGTTCAGGATATGGAAGCCACGCAACTTCTGTGGTGGCAGGACATTATTTCTATGATTTAAATGGAAGAGCTACAGGAGCAGGAAGTTCTACTGCTGCCAGCTCGGATCATTCTGAGGACTGGAACGCCTTGGATCACCACCATCGCGGGCCGGCGGCCATAATCCAGCAGTCGAGTCCGCTGATAACGAGCCTGGATTGCTCAGCTGAAAAGACTGGGCTTAATTCCATGCCGGAGATTGAACTAAATGCCAACTTTATTCTTTTTATTAGGCATGTTTTCCCTGCAGGTGTGAATACGCCCTGTCTAAACTTTGCAAACCAAACTATTTATCTGCAATGCTCCCCAACTGCTCGATATAATGTCCACGAAGGGTTCGATCCTTCATTGGTGCTGCATTGTATTGTTTATAATATGGGCGATGGAGAAGATAAGTGGGAGCACTTCTTGGCTGTTGTCAATGTGGAGGATCCACCGAGTATGCAACTGGCTGCTTTTGATTCCATTAAGAACCAAGAAGATATCATGGTTGAACCTTCCAAGCTGATCGCAGAGTTGACAAAGATAGGTGCAATTGGTACCAAGGGTACGCCAACTGTGCTTCAAGGCATGCGTGAATGTCTTGAGATTATTGATTAGGCCACTCATAAGTTTACTGCGGATGCGTTGGTTGTGGTTGCCCCTTATTCAGGCCAAGTGATTTCCAATGGGAATTATCCTATATTTGAGCCTCTTAAGGCTTGCTCTTTTGATAAGTGAAACCTGTGAGAGGTGGCATGATGGAGGCATTGCATGTTTGGAGAAAAATTTCAGACAAGGGTGACACTGAGGTACCCGAGGCTTCAATGGAGAGGAAAGTTGTTAATTTCAGAAATAATGAGAACAAATCTTCGATCCGGGAATCTGTCTTCTGCAACCTCTTTGTCAATAATGCGTCTCGACGGAGTCGAGCCCTTTTACGCTAGGGGAGAATGATGCGGTGCATTTTAAGCTAGAATGGTTCCTTAGGAGTACTTTATCTAGTTTGTTGTTAATACCTTCTAGAATGCTCTTTTGGTCTTATAAGTATGAGGTCTTGTAAAAGAAAAAGGTATTGAATGATATAATATACTCTCTTTTATAAGCTTTGAAGCTTTGGGTTCTTCTTCTTCCCTGGATTGGGATCAAAATCCTTCTTGCAGGTCGAGTCTTTCCGACGATCCACTACATCAATAACAAACTAGAAGAAAGAGAGGTTTACGATTCACCTATTCGATCGGTCGAACCAGATGACTTAATAAATAATAACATTATTAAAGATTAATAAAATTAACATAATAATATGACAATATAACCTTGAGTTTAGTAAATATTAGAATTAATTTCACCACATTTTATTGATTTTAGCAAAATATAAATGAAATTTTAGCACATACATAACCCGGATTCAGCAAATATGAATATCAATTTCAACAATTAGGAAATCTGATTTCAGCAAACTAAAATCTAAGTTCAACAAACATGAAAATTTATTTTAGCTGAACAAATATGTAATTTCAGCAGATAGAAATCCCAAATTCAGTAAATATGAATATCAATTTCAGCAATTAAGAAATCTGATTTCAGAAAACTAAAATCTAATTTCAATAAATACAAAAATTTACAAATGCAATTATATTTACGAAATATAATCGAAGCAAGCATGATATATTAAAGAATAGTAAAAACAAATTTTCTTACACAAATAAACTTAAACACACAATTTAAAATCACCAAATCGATGCTTATAATAAACTTAAACACAAATTATTTTAAAATGTACCTCTCTGAGACATGTGATGTGAATAAAGACTGAACCGAACCGAACCGAACCTAACCTTCTCGACCAAGACATCATTATATTGATCTAAAAAAAAGCAACAAATTTGTTATTTGTAAGTATAAGATTTAAAAAAAATAAAACATTTAAACTTTATCAAATCTATAAAATGGATGACACAGTAGCAGTAAACGTTAAGGAGCTGTTTTTCTCTAGCAGATTGAGGCCTTGCAGAGATGCGGAGGAAGCCAATGCGACAGATAAACTAGTGCACACATGGGCCGGTTGATGAGACTCTTTTTTCTAGTAGAAGAGGCCGAGCAGATGTTAGCATGAGGAAGATAAGACAAAGCAATTAGGGCTCGCATACTTATTCGGTTATTCAGTACAAGAATATGCGAAAGAAATAACAGAAGAAGTCATAAACAGTGTTGGGAGCAGCTTCGTCGGAAAAGGCTTTTAGCCGCTTGTAAAAGCTCGCCAATGAAGTAGGAATGCCGACCGCAAAGGAAGGAATAGGAGTAGCCCATAGAAGCTTCGTTTAGAGTTCGAACAAAATGAGGGATTATACGATTGCAAAGGAATTTAGGTTTTTTTTTTTTAATGAATTTGGACCGCGTGATCATAATCTAATGGAACAGGTTTCCCCATGTTTAAACTGGACAATTTTGGATAACCAACGTCGGTTCTCCGGTTTGACCTCCGGTCCCAACGGTTCTTAGACGGTTCAATGCAAATCCAATTTTGTACAAAAAATGAACCGTTCGGCCGACTAGTTCACAGTTCAACCTTTTGGACTAGCCAATCTGATCCAATTTAATAACCTTGGAAAAAGATTAAAAAAATTATGGCCTTCATAACAAGACTAATCCATTTATTTTTGAAATATCATTTCATGGAACATTAAGGGTTTAAATGATGAAGCATATATTATTGAATATAGAAAGATGGTTATTGAGAATAAAGTTTCTCTTATTTCTTTTGGAAGCTAAGCTATCTTCTACCTCCATTTGTAATGATTTCTCTACTAGATAGTTGTAATAAATTTCACACCTCTTCTAGAGGTTGAATATATATTAATTGAGACATTCGTTGGGTGTCCTTCGTTGTTCTTACGTTCTAGGTTTATTATATTCATGAATGGCTAGGATTTTCATCCATTATCTTTTTTTTCTTTCATCAACTTTATTTATGCTAAAAATTATGCTACAAACAAATAGCAGGATTCCATTTATGACATTTCATCTTTTATTTTAGACCTATCATTGATTTTGGGTGATTTTAATTGCATTGCATTTGAGGATGAGAAAGTTGGTCCTATTCCTCCTCTCTTCTAAAAGTTATAGGACTGAAAATAAGTCAGTTTTGAAAGTTGGATGGCTATGAAAATGAAAAAAAATGATTGTTTTACTTTTTTTTTTTAGTTTTTGAAGTGAAATTCATCTACCGAGCCTTTTTCTTTCAAGATCCAATTGAGAGAAACATAATGTTTGCTTACTATAGTGATAATATTCAATGTTTTAATGTTCTTGGTTTCATCCCTTTGGTGCTTTGGGTTGAAGTGTCTATAGAAGGGGAATGGAGCAAAAGATAGAGAGAACGAAGATGAGCCACGAATTATAGAAAATGCTATTACCATGATATTTCATTAAAAGAAGAAAAATAAAAGATGAAAGTGAAAAGAATTTATTAAAGAAAATTTCCTTATTCTTACAACAGTGATATATATAATACAATACGAAAACATAAAAGTTTATAGGAATTCCATATTCCACTATACATATTATGTACATAGAAGAAAAAGAAAATAAGGGGAAAAGAAAAGAAAGGCCGAAAGAGGAAAAGCCGTAGCGGTTGGTATCTTGTCTTTGATTTTATTATAAAATCATGATTTTTAAATTGGCCGAAATAAACATTTTTTTCATTATATTACAAGTTCAATTCTCACTCTACTATCAAATACAATGATACCTTCAAATTGAATAAAAAATAATTGGAAAACTTTTCAATGCTGGCAGAAAACTAAAATCTGTTCCAAAAATAATAATGCCTTTCAAGGGATGTGCCATTGTAAGGGCGAATTATTAGGTCCGGTCACCTGACATAGAAATACATTCGGATTTCTCTCTATCTACAGTAAAGCACAGTTACTATAGCAGTTGCGCTTTTACTGTAGACAGAGAGAAATTCGGATGTATCTTTCTGTCAGGTGACTGGACCTAATAATTTTCCCATTGTAAGAGCCATTATACCCCTATAGATCTGTTTGTCTTGGGTAGCCGTCACAAGAAGTATTTAAGGCTTTCTTATGGGTAGTTTTTTTAATATTTGAAAGAGTTGTTGTCAAGAAAATATTTTTTTAAAGTAGAATATAACTTTATAGTACAATTTATTTAAATCAATAAAAAATAATGATAAAATAAAAAATTATAGTTACTAGAATCTAGAAAATAAAAAAAATAAAAAGTTGTCTCAAAAATGAAGCCTAAGACTATAATTTGAATGCAAAAAATAAATAAATAAACTCAAATCTGATTTCAAATTTATAATAAATTATTAAAATTGTATTTAGCTTTTTATGAGTAATTAACTTTCGGTTTAAGCAAAACCGAAACGTGCAATAATGCTAGCTAGTCCTGATCAATAAAAAGAATATGGTCTTGGTTAACGAATTTGAGCTAATTTTGATGAGTTCTTGCTAAGAAAATACTATCAAATTTTATTTTATAAACCAGTTTTAAAATGATCTTTAAAAAAAATCGACCTTTTTCTTTTACATATGATGCACCAATTTTGCAAAAAAAATTATGTTATTACAAAGCAGATAAGAAGATAAACCAAGCAAACCTACAATGTATGTATATTTCGGGACATAAGCGTGAATGGATAGAATAGACCCGCACCAAAATTGAAACAAAAAAATTTGAAGTATGAATTAATAAAATGTTCATCCGCACTAATATATCGAATCCAACTAAAGCCCTCAATGTTTCCCTCCCCTTCTATCAGTATATGCTAATAACTCCTTATTTACCTGCTACTATGGCTCATAAGAATCAGCTCTTTCAAACCAGATACAGCATAACGCGCCATGAAAGACCGCTTCTCAAAAAGCTCGTGTAAGAATGATAGGTGAAGCAATCGATCAAATGAGCTGCTGTGAGATTCTAATGGAGACTACTTTTCCATCCGAACCTTTGCTCCTCATGGCTTGGAATCTCACATGAAGTCCTGTGCAGTATAGCAATATAAACTCGATGGTAATTTAAAAAGCAAGCATTCGGTTGAAGAACAGAGAAGAAGATGAGAACTCATCACCGTCGTTGGGCTGCAGGTTCGTGTTGACCGCGACGGCATGGGTGGAGATTCTTGCCCTCGGCTGCCAATCCCCGGGATCCGCGAACCAACCAGAAGTATTAAGCAAACCTGCAACCGTCGTAAAGAAATAAAATACTGTTTCTTCTATTAACAGTAATTAATACATTCTTAACACATCTTTATCATCTGGTCATCAAAATTCACCTGCAGTGCAAGGAGAATGGATGTGTTTGTAGTCGAAAACGCCTCCAGAAGCAGAATTGGATTGCTTTTCAATGCGATGGGATCCGATGTCTTCGAACTGCCAGCTTCCATTTTGGAAGCTCTCTTCGAGAAACAGCTCTAAGTGCCTCACGTCCAATATCTGCATCGTCCCTGTAACAAAGAAGACCTCACCATTTTCTTAAGCCATTTTCTAAATACACAACGAGCAGCGGAAAAACAAGAGATTCAAGTGATTTATGAAAAAGAGAGGAGTATATTTTGCTGATCTTCGCTGGAATCTAGCCGTCCGATCATTTCCTTATCCTCTCCCCTACCTTCGCAGGTGTTAAGGTTGCAAACCGGGCAGCGAACGAGCTGCAGATCTGAAATGTTCATATAATTTGTTAGATGCTAAGCTTTAAAGCAAATAGTCCTGTTATGTGTTTTCTTTTTTCTCCAGTTCCAGAGGCTAATTATGAGATTAAGGATATTCTCGTAGGATTAGATAGAGCCCAATTATGAGATCGCAGAGTTTAAAAACAACATACGGTAGGAAGAAAACTGTACCGGCAATCCATATTCCAGTTCTAATATCTGTTAGAATGCAAGTACCGCTGAGTTGGATGGCTCTATTTTGGTCTTCTTCAAGCTCCATTAGCTTGCTCGGAAGCGCCAATTTCTCCGTGAGCACGGCCGAAGGCGTCTCGATGAAGAATGCACCAATTCGCATCCAATCTAATTTCACCAGCAGGTCAATCATAAGCAATTCTTTAAAGGCTTACAATTACATATACTAACCGATGTGTTTCTCTTTCTGACGAAAGCAATAGGCATGACTGCCATCTATGAAACAAAAAAAATAGGAATATATATTAGTTTCATGCTAGCCTTTAGGCTTGGTTTGGTGTGAAGGAAGTGAAAATAATGTAAATATAATTTTATTTTAATTATTTGATTTTAATGTAATTTTTCGATCATGATATGGACAAATATTTTAATCACTGCTATTTTTTTCTCAAATTTAATAATAATTATAAAATATTTTCATTAATCATGAGAATTAAAGCTCAATTCATCTAAAAAGATTTTCTTCATCTAATTATAAATCAAATTAAATTAAATTTATTTTTTATTTTTTTATTTCCTTCGAATTCCTTCAAACCAAACAGAGCCTTATTGTTACAGTATTTTGAAATGAAAAAATTCAGCAATGGAAAGTATAAACCCACCGAAAGCAGAGGCATAGAGCTGAAACCATTTGAAGGACACGTGATGAGGAGAAAGAACCTGCAAATCACGGAGACAAGCATACTTCCAGATGCTGTCCTCCATGATCAGACGGTAGAACCACCTGTTTGTTACTGCAAGTCTGATCAAATCTTTACCATCCAAGCACTTGGCCACTTCGATCCACAAGTCCTCTTCATACCTGAAAGAAAGTTTAAGATTCTAACTTATAAAATTTAAAATCATGGTGATCTGTTAACTTACAAATTAACTTCTCACTTATTCTGTGGTACTCTACAAATATGAGAATAATTGAGCTAAATGCAGAATCCTTCATGATTTAAATGCCTGAAACAATTTAGTTCACATCGAATTCTACCATAGTCCAGATCGAAAACATAGGACGAATAACTACTACTAATAATGCTATCCTAGAATTAAATGGACTGAAATCCGTAAGTTCGTAAAGTCTAAACTGAAGTTCCTGACACGTCTAACAATTTCTCTTAATTAATTCCTTTTTATTTAAGTTTAATTTTCACATTCTAAATAACTATTTAAATTCTTCTCAATCTGACTACATCTACATCCGAATCCCTGATTGATTTCCATACCATCAATAATTAACTAAAAAAAGTAAATAGTGATTCTATTTCAAAAACAATTCCGGATCAGACCAACTAGAATTCCGGATATGAAGATCCCATAGATCAGCCGATCGAAGATTCGGAGTATCACTTACAACTTGCGCACTATTGAAGCTAACCGATTCAAAATCGAACAATGAAATGGACAAAGAGTGACTAATCCTACTAAGTATCGGAACAAATTATTCAGGATACAAAACCCGCATCGAAAGAGAGGGAGAGAGAGGACCATGAGAATTCGGAATGCCGAGTGAGGCACAAGAGCAGAGGAGATGAACAGGAGTGCGATCTTTCCCTCTTTCTCGCTTTCTGAATCAGCTCTTCGTTGACTCTGGCCTTCCGCTTGGACGGGAGCATCGGTTCCCCCAGATGATCTCGTGGTCTCTTCATCATCCCCTCACCTCTTTTTCTATTGCTTTGTTGAGCTCGGAAGAGCCGCCAACATTTGGAAGAGCAGAGTCCCATTCGCAGCTCAATTTATAGGCGCGGGAGCTGCAGCCTCAAATTTCATTTTTAAATTTGAAGAAGCCATGGCCCTTATTGTCATTTGCAGAAATCAACAGGGGCATTCTAGTAATCCAAGGGATACAATTGTGAGTAGTTAATTATCGTAGGACTTAGATGCACACCTCAGTGAATACTAATTAATCATGATTAGAATCAATTTATATCATTTGAAATTTAAAAATTCTTCAGTAAAATATGATAAAAGACACGAGTGTTTTATTAACTGGATTAATTTAATTAATTTAACTTAATTTATATACTAATTTCTTCTTTTCTAATTTTTTTGGGACATTTAGGTCAATTAAGACAAACTTATATACACATCACATACACAACACTCAAACTCAAGACTTCTTAGTTGGTAGCTCAAACTCTCAACTAGGGGTGTCAATATTTGACGCGACACCAAAATCCGACCCGAAAAATCAGGGTTGGACCCAACCCGATTTCAAAACGGGTCGGGTTCGGGTTGACCCGACGGGTTGCAGGATCAACCCGCGAACCCGTTTTAACCTAACCCGTGGACCTGCCCGCCTCGCTGTCGCAGGAAAATTGCGCGACCACGCCCCGCTACCGCACGACCCTGCCTTGCTGCCGCGCTGCGCGACCCCGCTGCCGCCGTGCCGCGCGAACCCGCGCAACCCCTAAATTTATGGTAAAATTTTCAAATAGTGCATCAAATCATATATTGTTCTTATTTTAAAAATGAAGGGCCTGTTTGGAACTTTTCATTATTTTATCTTTTGGCTACTATAATTCTTTATTTTCTTATTTTTATGGAAATTTTTATGATAAGATATTGCTTTTATAATCATAGTTGTTAATGTGTGATAGTTTTAAGAAGACAGTTGTTAGATTTTCTTAAAAAAATATTTGAAATATTTACAATAACTTTCAAATATATTATTTTTCTCATACAGCCTCAAAGTCACCTTAATAAAATGTTACAGTAATCCCAAAGAGAATATTAGAGCACTTAGTTATGGTAGTGGACCAAATCATATATTATTCTAATTTTAAGGATTTTTAGACATCCTGATCATAGCAATCTAATGGCATGTTTTAATAATAATAATAATAATAATCAGGTTTCAATATCCAACTTATAAAGAGTATTATTGGCTTCAACTGTACAGATTAAATTGTGTGCTCGAACCTTAGGTATTTTTATGGTCCTTAACTGTAAATAAAAAAAATACTTTTATGATACCTAATTATTTGATTGTGGAGATATTTTTTGGATTTTTTTTTTGAAGGAAGAGCCAATAAATTGCGAAAGAAATACATAATTTAATATAATTCAGTCTACAATACTTTTATCGTATTTTACATTCGGTTTAAGAAACTTAAAGAGAATTTGCAAATGTTGCAATTTCTAAGGTAAAATTACCAACGAATCACTGCCAAACCAAACAAAGAACACATAATTTTGAAGTAAATAACCCCATCATTATGGAGCACGACACTATGGTAAATCATTTATTCAAACTCATCCTTTGAGGTGACTCACCACCATTAAATTTTATGTTAGATTGAACATGAATTTTGAGGGAGTAATGGAGGAATTCGTGATGGTTCGGCTAATAAAGGATGGTCAAGCTTAAAAGAGATGCTAGTAAAAGAAGACAATCATAAATCTTAATCATATTAGGAATCATCCAACCCTTAAACCTTAGAAGTTATCTTTGGCTAGGCTACCAATGGTGTCACACCCCGAGTACTAAGCACAAATACCCAAGACACCCAAAGAACGAGAGAGAAATAACATACTATTTTCCATGTGTTCAACCTTTATAAGTTATAGGCACACCAAGGAAGAAGATCAATTGGGTGTGTTTTGATAATTAATAATTTTCTTGCAAAATTTTACTAATTCAAACCATCATAGTTAACATGCAAAACTATGATATGAACTTAACAAATGTTACATTCTATCATAATATACTATGTGCATGAGAACTTAGGAGTATTGATCCTATTGCATGGAACTGACAAGTCTATATTTGGAAGAAGAAATTTTGGCTTGATCTAATCTATTATACATAAGAGGGTAAGCTAGCATACTTTTCATCATATCTTTTGGGGCTTGAATACCCTTATTTCTAAAATAGATGTCCATAATTAGTCTACTTATATCATATATTAACTAACATGCTTTATAGATGAACTTTTAAAATAACAATTTCATAGATAAATGAATAAATATTAAATGAGAAAGAGCATGGGTAAACTAAGAATCAAGCAAATATATTATCAAAATATTTAAGCATGATAGTGATGGAATTGGGTAGATTATAAATGTTCATTTGATGTGTTTCAAGAGTGTGTGAAAGTAAATTCCATATGGATCTAAGAGTTAGGATGAATTATCTTAGAGTGCTTCCTTCTCCATCATAAAACACGTGGTAAGACATGAATCTATTTATATATAGCAATATACCATATAGTGCGCCAAATTGTGCTATGTTATCCTCTACTTTCAATCTAGCATGATTATAGATCATTTAGTTTGAATCAAAATCAATCAAATAAAGATATAATATATGTGAAAGAGCATGGTTAAACTAATTAACAGGAAATCAAGTCAAGATATAATCAAAGTATTTTTTATATGATATTGATGTTAATGGATAGATTATAAATTATCATTGGATGTGTCAAAAGGGTTTGTGGCAACTAATGTCATTTGAACCTAGACGAAGCCAAGATAAGCTATCTTAAAGATTGTCTAGGCCATACTAGAATGTATAGTAAGGTACTAATTAGTACATCAACATTAGCCAAAAGTTGTCATATTTCACTTAAACCATATAAATCCAACTTAATGATTAATCATTGTGTTTGAATTAAAATCCATTAAGCTAAAATACATTAAGTGCAATGACTCAATACCCTAGAGTGATATATAAATATTTGTGTAAAGAGTAAAATGCTTAGAGCCAATGAACTAATGATACTCTAATTCTGGCTAACTTAAGTTGACTCAGTATTAATCTCGATTAGCTAGGACACCACACAAGTGTGTACATGTGTTATACATTAGGTTTCAAAGCAACATAAAATCATTAAGATGAAACTTAAATTTGAATATTTTTTATGAGTTTCAAGGTCATATTAAGAATTTATAGTAAATTCCTAAAATTATGAAATTCAAATATCTAGAAAACTTATAATTCATTAAAGTTGAATTTTTTATGTTTAAAATTCAAATTAAAGATTTTATATTTTTGAAAATATAAAAGTTAAATTTAAGGTTATGTTGAGGTCAAATTTGGATTTCTATGATCTAAGAAGAATAAAAATCTTATTTTCTTCTTTAGCTTTAAGAGTTGATCCTTATTTTTTAAGAAGGGAATAAACCTATAGGCTAGCTCGTCGGATTTGGATCTCAGTTGTTAGAACTAAAGTTTATTCATGTTTTTAATTTATTGTTCCTTTTTTTTTCTTGAGATTTTATAGTAGATTCTTGGAATCTTCTTAAATTTTATTTTTTAAAATTGTTCTATTTTGATGATTCTATTTTTATAGGAAATTTTGCAAGGATTTCAATGAAGAAATTTTCTTTAGTCAAGGGATTTTGTCAGCTTCATTTTTGTTAATTTTTTCATATTTATTTATTCTTTTTTGATATATTGGTACACATCATATTAATTTTTTGTAGATATACAATGTTCTCAGGTTACCTTACAATACTAATACTTTTGATATTTCTTTTCTTATGTGCCTAAGCCAAATTTTTTGTATTTATTTTGACCTGCTTGATCTTTATTTAGTTTGAAGGCTTTAGTTAGGAAGTTTTTTTTTTCTATTTGTTCTTTGGTAATTTTGCTTAAGTGTCTCGTAGGGCACCATTTCACTTTGAGGAACTTCTCTCACTTTTAATTGGGGATTTATTACATGCTTCATGATTTTTTTATTTATTTTTTTTTGCTTAGTACCATAGCTATAAACTATCTTTTTAATAGCATTTATCTTTTTTTATTCCTTTCCTCTTGTCTTAGCTTCTCTCCCTCATTCTTTTGGGGGTTTTAAGTGGACTTTGGCTTCATTTTAGGAAGGAAGGAACTCTTGATTATGTTGGATCTTAGTTATAGAACTTGTTGTAGAATCAATTTTACTTGGTGATTATAATGCGTTGTTGTTATTTGATTTAAAATAGTTTTAATTTTAGAGTTTTATTTGTATGCAACCTATTCTTCTCTTGTTTGGATCTCATTATTTAGTTATAGTTAAAAGGCTTCAATTCGAGAGGTTATTTTTATGTTGGGGAATAAATACAATATTCATAATCTTCTCTTAAGCTAAGAATTTTAATTTATAATTGTCTTAATAATTACAAATTTGGTTCATTTCTTAGTTACTTCTTTTTGCTTGGCTATGACTTAGGCTTCAATTCAAGAAAGAAGAAATTTTGCTCTTGGACAAATATTTGATTATAGATTCAAAAATAATTCATGGTTATGATAAGTAGCTCATAATTGCTCTTTGAAGATGATCAATTTGGAATTTTTAAGTGTGCCTATACCTTTTTTTTTTCTTTTGTAATTTTCTAATTACTTTATAATGATTTTGCTATTTTTTCTCTAGGAAGTCCAAGGGTGTCAATTAGTTCTTTAATATTACTTTTTAATGGAATGGATTTCAACCTTATTTTATTTTATTTTATTTTATTTAAATTTTAAAGTTTATTTTAATTTTTAATTAATTTCTTTTATTTATTTAATTTTACTTTGGATTTTATTTAATTAAAGTTTAATTAAAGGTTGATTTTTTATTAATATTATTTTAATTAAAAATTGGACAGAGCTTTAAATTTTCCTTGATTATTGATTTGATTTGTAATCTATTGCAATTTACTTTATTTTTTATTTCTTTTATTCAGTTTATTATCATTTTTTTTAAATTTTAGCCCCAAAAAAATA